AAACACATACGTTCTTAGAAGCATAATCCAAATCACCTATAAAACTTATATTGCATATGTTGTAGTATTTTTATTTTTTTTGAAAGGTAAAAGAAAAAAAAAATACTACAACATATGTCCATATGTTGTAGTATTGCTGATAAGTGTTCCTTAAATTTAAAGGCCAGTCTCAACAACAGGTCAGACATCAAAGTTAGCACACTGCTTCAAGATTTTGATTCACATGACAAACAACATAAATGTTATAATTTTAAAGAAAAATGTAAAAAGCAAGTGTAGGTCAATTCTTCGAAAAGAATTCAAAAGCTTGTGTGTCAGTTCTTCAAAGAAAACTCAAAAGCTGCATGGGGAGATGAATATGTAGCATTAATGATAATAGCAATAAAAGTAATAACCCTAACATCCCTACAAGATAAACAACTATGTGTATTGTGAACAGATTATGATACTTAGACATGGATAAACAAGTGAAAAAATATAATAGTGAAATGCAAAAGAAGTGGAGCAGCAAATAGAAACATGTCACTTTAAGATTAAGATATAATGCACAACTCCGGTATACGGTCTAAATTTCCCAAGGAAAAGTTTTTGATTGAAAGGGCTACCCCACATCCTACCCTCCCCAGACCCAGGGGCGGACCCACGTGTTGTTCAGGGGTTTCACCCGAACCCCCTCGATAAAAAATTACACGGTATATATAAGGTGAATTTTCTGGATTTATGTGGATATATATATTTTGAACCCCCTCAATAATAAGGTGAAGGAGATAGCCCAGCGGCAACTCCCTTCAATATTAAGCCTGACGTCTAGGGATCGAATCCCTGGGTTAGCGTTTTTTTTTTTAGTTTTTTACTTTCAGTTTTTTTTTATTTTTTTAGTTCCAATTCCGATTTTCATGTTTGTTTTAGTTTTTTTTTTTTACTAAAAAATGCTAAAATGCGGTGTTAAACCCAAAAATTCAAGGTCCCATACTCCCATTCCTAAAAGCTAATAACTTTTTCACTTTCCAAATCTCTAAATAATTTTCTTGTTCTTCCCCAACACTCAAAACTCAAATATTAAAATCATCTCCCATAATATTCTATTGTTGATTTTGACATATTTTAAAGGGCTAACTTTTTGTTTCACTGTAATCACTTATGTTAGTTTTGGATTTCTTGTAACGAACTAACTTTTTGTAACTATAAACTATATACTACTACTTCCTTGAAATTATTTTTTGTTGGCTTATTTACTACACGTTTATACTTTTATTTTTCGAACCTCCTGAACGAAAATCCTGGGTCCGCCACTGCCCAGACCTCACTTGTGGGATTACACTGGGTATGTAGTTGAATAGTATATAGTGGAGGGAGTAAAATGCAAAGATCACATGGAAGTACCTTCAAGTGCTGGAGTTGGGAATTGTTAACTCTCTTTGCATATTCAGATAAGAGCTGACCAAGTGCATCAGAGCTAGGGGGCATTGCAGAACCTAGTCCAGCCATCCATCCATCCATTATTGCAGTAGACAGAAGCTCAAGCTGACCTGTTGTTCCACCAACCGTGTCATCAGTGACCGACAGAAAGTCGAAGTTCTCGGCAAGACAATTCCTGATTTGGCGTTGAAGCTCGCCACCCGGAGTATGTACAAAAAGAGCAGCAAGACCTCTGTTTCCAACCGCAAAACTTTTAGCTTCCTCAGTTATCTCCCTAAGTTTTCCACCAGTTACTTGCTGCCTCAGTATGTCCTATATGATTAAATTCCAAGTCACGTAAGCCACTACCAATTGAATGTTAAATAGATATAACATGCACGGATAAAAAGTTAAGAGACAAGAGAGGGAAAAAATAATAACACAACTCTGTAAAAGAGCTCAAGATGAAGTGTATATTTTTGTTTTACGTTTGGTGTAAAGAAGTTTTTTGTACAAGATGTAGAGTCTCTAGTTGTCTCACTGGGTCTTTGTAACTGTCACGAGACTAGCTTTGGTTAATTTTTTGGATTACTTAATATAATATACTCAAATCTGTAACCGTGTTCAAAAAACCTACTTATTTCCTTCAACAGACTAAATAGCAAAGTGATAAGAATCGGGTTACTTGAATAAACAAGAAAATAATGCGGTAGCAAAATTATAAACATTAAAGAAAGAAATTGAAAGATATGTGAAATTCAATAATAAAATCCCCAAATAAGTGCCAATTGATTTTAATATTTAAAATTAGTGGATTAAAACTAATTATGATACTAATAGAGTCGATTCAAGAATCTAGATCAAAAGTGATCAAAAATTAGAGACAACAATTAGCATAAGACTTTCAATCTTAGATTGAATTAATCCCCCAAAAAATGTCCCTTCTAGTTCCAGCGTTATATAAAAAGGATGGCAATCTCCAAAAGTGATTTTTTGTGGGAAACTGCATATAGCAGTGCCTAGTCCCTTTTATAGTCAAAAACCAAGATAACCATTGATACCCGGAAACACAAAGCATATGTATAAACTGGGATACTCTGAAACCTTCAAAAAATGTGAAGAACATAGGAGAAGCACCCCATGTAAAATTGTGATTACATCATTAACATCAAACTAGATTAAGTTGCCTTTAACTCCCATATGATTAAACATAAAAGATTTCTGCCATCCCACTTTACCATTCAATCAATAAGCCAATAAAAATGCAGTCAGAGTATATTAAATAAGTGTAGAACCAGTATGGTAAAGTAGAAACAATTTAGAAATCTTGACTAGTAATTGGATGAATTACAGGTAACTTGAACAACTGTGGTCTGTGCAGGAACTTTTCTCATTTGTTGTTCTGAAGAAAAATGCAGAATTCAATTCCTCAAGCCCATGCCTCACTTGTGGATGCAGAAGGCAACAGGATATCCAAACACATGCCCACATATTCTCCTACGTAGATAAACATCATCACTATGTAACACATTCTAACACTTGTTCTTTACAATTATCAACATTATATATGGCTCAGAATCGACAACATAAACTACCAAATCAGACCTGTTACTGATTTGAAAGTTTCTAGCATCAACATCAACAAAAAGAAGAGCTATGTTGAAGCAAGGTACACCTGAAACACCAAATTTATGAATAATTGATAAATAAATAAGTTGATGATTGAACCAATCTTAACAGTGTCAAATAAGGAAACCCTCAACTACTATCAAAGATATCTTTTTCAAAATAAAATGAAAACCACCTACAACATTAAATAACTATGGCAAAATGTCACTACCTATAAACTTACTTTTAACAACTATTGTATTTCAAGTTTTATTTTGAAAGAACTTCAGAGAAAACTTATTCTAGCGACACTTTTACTCCAATTTTTATTTTGAAAAGCCAATATTGCATAGTTTTATATTAACTCCCATGCAGAACATGGGTGAAATACTAGCTATATTACGAGACTTTCTGCTAACTTTTCTATTTCTTTTTAAAGCATACTAATCAGAGTGGAGGTACTGCTGCACCTTAACCACCTAGCACCTATGTTGCTTTGACTCTTCAAAAATGCCAACCGGTCTGTGTTTTTGAAGGATCAACCACCGGTGCCATAACATTTTTGGAGAGTCCGAGCAACATAGCCTAGCACAAGTAACTGTTTCTTGCAGAGAGGAGCTGTCACATGCAAATAATAAGAAATGGCAAGTGATTCCGCCACCAATGAAATGATCCATTAGAAGTTAAGCAACAATAAAATTCATAGTCACATACCTGGTTGACTTTATTAGGAGTGATGTACTTCCAAAATTTGTAGGACCAATAAAAAGTGTCAAAGAGTCGGTTTCCTCAAATGTGATCCTCCCATGATTTCCCGTTTCAGTCATTCCATGGTCACTTACTACCAACTGCAGATGTGTGCAATATATACAAGACAAGGGATTATTAAAGTCAGAATATTGAGATATTTGTTTGTTGAGTAATCAAAAGATATCATCACATACTTTTTTGACCCTCAACCATACTGGGGAAAAGTAATTCAAGCAAAATATGGAGAGGAGAACAAGTGGATGACAAAGGAGGTCCTTACACCATATGGGGTAAACCTGTGGAAGTCCATCAGAATCTTGTGGCCTCTCTTGAAGATCAATACAACCATCAGGGTAGGAAATTAAGACTTCATTTGGGAGGATAAATGGTTAGGCAATTTTAGTTTGAAAAGTATCAGAGATGCATGACTTGGTAGTGAATAAGCAACTGAGTGTAGCTGAGGTTTGGATACAACATGGATGGATTTTCCAGTTTAGAAGGAATTTCAATGATTGGGGAATCGAGACTGTGACTGATTTTTTTGGAAGGCTGGAAGTTTTTACAGGAACAAGGGATGAACATGATAGATTATGGTAGAGCAGAAATAACAAAGGCACATTCAAGGTAAACTCTGCATATAAGTTACTAAATCAAGATGCACAACAACCTTCTCTTTGGCCTTGGAAGCATATTTGAAAACCTAAAATCCCAGGGGGATCTTACTGGGCTAGTAATGCAGATTTGGGGTGGTAGATGGATCAAAATGGCATGTTTGGAAGCTAGTGGGACAAGAGGAGGGATAATGATGCTTTGGGATAGTAGAATATGGAAAGTACAAGTTCTAGAGATCGGGTCATATACCCTTACCTATAAATTTGAATCACAGGTGCAGGACTTCTCATGCCATATAACAGGAGTATATGCTCCAAATTGCTATGTGGAAAGAAGACTAGTATGGGAAGAAATTGGCTCTATCAGAGGTTTAATAGAAGGTCTATGGGCAGTTTGTGGTGATTTTAATGAGGCTAGATATGTCTCGGAAAAGAGGAACTGTATGAGGAGAACAATAGGGATGCGAGAGTTCTCTGATTTTGATCGAGGATCTAAACCTAGTTGATCTTCAACTAGAAAATGCAAAGTTCACCTGGTTCAAAGGGGATAACCACCTAATAGCTTCAAGAATTGACAGGGTCTTGGTATCTCAAGAATGGGATGATGCTTTTAGCAACTTGAAACAGTACACTATGCAGAGAATATTATCAGACCACTCTCCAATCACACTCCAAGGTGGTTCCTGGAAGAAGAGCAAGAGCTATTTTAAGTTTGAGAACTGGTGGTTAGGAACTGAAGGTTTCATTGACAAAGTAAGGACATGGTGGAATTCTTTTGATTATACTGGGAGGCTTGATTACATCCTTGCATCCAAATTAAAAGCCCTGAAACACAAACTGAAGGAGTGGAGCAGAAGTGAGCAAAGGAATCTAGGCCAACAGAGGAAATCTTTACTTGAAAAGCTGGCTGCTATGGAAAACATTGCTACTGATAGAGGTCTAACTGTGGATGAGGCAACAGAAAAGGCAAGGTTACTTCTGAACTTGGAGGATCTGATAAAAAATGAGGAGATCTACTGGAGGCAAAGATCAAGATCAATTTGGTTAAAGGAAGGGGATAAGAACACCAAATTCTTCCATAAGATAGCTAATGCACACAAGAGGTACAATAACATAGAACAACTGCTAGTCCAGGGGAACATTGTCCAAGAACCAAAAAGAATCCAAGGGGAAATAGTGGAGTTCTATCAGAAGCTTTATACAGAGGAGTTGCAGTGGAGACCTGCCAACAATTTTTTAAATTGCCCAAGGTTAACAGGGGAGGAAAATGAGGATCTTGAAAGAAGCTTTGACGAGGAAGAAGTTCTAAGGTGTTTAAAGCAGTGTGCAACTAATGAAGCACCAGGACCAAATGGCTTTACTATGGGGTTTTATATCAAACGCTAGGAGGTGGTGAAAGGTGACATATTGGAGACTTTTCAACACTTCCACGAACAAGGGAGGTTTGAAAGAAGTCTGAATTCTACATTCATAACCCTAATCCCAAAGAAGAAAGATGCAAAAGAATTGAGGGATTTTAGACCTATTAGCTTGATAGGTAGTATGTATAAGATCTTCTCAAAAGTGCTTACTGAAAGGTTGAAAAAAGTGATGTCCAAGCTTGTCGATTCACAACAATTAGCTTTTATTAAAGGGAGACAGATAATGGATGTCGTCCTCATAGCTAATGAAGTTGTAGATTCCAGGTTGGTCTAAAAAAAATCAGGAATTTTATGCAAATTAGACATTGAGAAAGCATATGACCATGTCAATTGGGACTTTCTTAAGGGTATGCTAGAGAAGATGGGATTTGGTCACAAATGGAGACAGTGGGTTAAATTTTGCATATCTTCAGCGAACTTCTCAGTATTGGTAAATGGCTCTCCAGCAGGATATTTTAGGTCACAGAGAGGTCTTAGGCAGGGTGATCCCCTATCACCCTTCCTTTTCATACTAGTCATGGAAGGACTCAACAATATGATCAAGAACGCATGCAATGAAGGATGGCTGAGAGGTTTTGAAGTTGCTAGAGCTGGAAGGGAAAGTCTAGAGATCACTCATTTACTATATGCAGATGACACCCTAATTTTTTGTGATGCTAAGGAAGACCACCTTAAAATATTGAGACTGATTCTAGTTATTTTTAAAGGTATGTCTGGGCTACATGTCAACTGGAGGAAAAGCTTCTTGTATCCAGTAAATGAAGTACCAAACATGGAAATTTTGAAGTCAATATTGGGAGGTGAAGTGGGTGTCCTCCAAACCACATACTTGGGTATGCCTTTGGGGGCAAAATCCAACTCTATGAAAATCTGGGATGGGGTGATTGAGAAGTGTGAGAAGAGGCTAGCAAGGTGGAAGTCTCAGTACCTTTCACTAGGGGGAAGACTAACTTTGATTAATTATGGGCTTGATGCACTTCCAACATATATGATGTCATTATTTCCTATCCCATCGGGATTCATCAATAGGTTGGATAGCATCCGGAAAATTTTTTTATGGCAAGGGAATAAGGAAATGAGAGGATATCACTTAGTCAAATGGAAAACTGTGATCACTGAAAAGAGAGTTGGGGTCTGGGGATCAAGAACATGAAGAACCAGAGTAAAGCTTCGAGGATGAAGTGGCTTTGGAAGTACTCAAATGATAATCAGAATCTGTGGGGCTCAGTCATAAAGGCAAAATATGAAGAGAGTGATAGTTGGATGACAAAGGAGGTTACCACCCCTTATGGTGTTAGCTTATGGAAATCCATTAGAGAACTTTGGAATGAATTCAAACCTAACACCAAGATCAAAGTGGTAGATTGCATAAAAACTAGGTCTTGGAAGGATGATTGGCATGCAGAAGGAAATATGGAGACTCTTTTCCCTGACATCCACAATTTAGTTCTTCAGCAACAAAGTAGTATAGCTGACTTATGGACTCCTAAGGGTGGAATTTTGTATTTAGAAGACACCTCAATGACTGGGAAATTCCAAGAGTAACAGAATTTTTTATAAGCATTGATCAATTTAGTGGTTTGGAAATGGGGCGAGACAGATTGCAGTGGTTGGGAACCAGTAAAGAGATTTTTAAAGTAGGTGCAGTGTACAAGAAGTTGAATCATTCAAATCTGCAGCTACTCAAGTGGCCCTGGAAACATATATGGAAAGCCAAGATCCCCTACAAGGTGTCTTGCTTTGTGTGGTTATTGGCTAAAGAAGCAGTATTGACACAGGAAAATTTAATGAAGAGGGGAATTACACTTTGCTCTAGATGTTTTTTCTGTGGGAAAACTGCAGAAACAGTCAATCATTTGTTTATCCAATGCGAAGTCACTGGCCAGTTGTGGAATCTATTCCTAAGACGTAAAAGCATCTCCTAGTCCATGCTTGGGAGAATTTCAGAGGCTCTATTTAGCTGGGAAGAAGCAGGGTTGCAGCTACTCAAGTGGCCCTAGAAACATATATGGAAAGCCAAGATCCCCTACAAGGTGTCTTGCTTTGTGTGGTTACTGGCTAAAGAAGCAGTATTGAAACAGGAGAATTTAATGAAGAGGGGAATTACACTTTGCTCTAGATGTTTTTTCTGTGGGAAAACTGCAAAAACAGTCAATCATTTGTTTATCCAATGCGAAGTCACTGGCCAGTTGTGGAATCTATTCCTAAGACGTAAAAGCATCTCCTAGTCCATGCTTGGGAGAATTTCAGAGGCTCTATTTAGCTGGGAAGAAGCAGGGACACAAGCAACAAACAGAAGTAACCGAAGAATTGTCCCTGTCACTATTTTGTGGACAATATGGAAAGAGAGGAACCTTAGAGTTTTTGAGAATAGGGAGAGTAGTATGCAACAAGTTAAATTGAATTGCATTTCGACTCTGTGTTTTTGGTGTAATCAAATTTACTCTAATGATACCGTCTCTATCATTGATGTCTTAGACTCATTATAGGAATAGGTCAGTATTATTAGAGTTTCCTTATGTAAATACGGGTTTCAGTACAACCTATGTACTGTTCTGTAGAAATAGAAACAATTACCATTTAAAAAAAAAAAAAACCTAAAATTCCTTTCAAGGTGTCATGTTTCACTTGGCTTCTGGCAAGAGAAGAAGTTTTAACATATGAAAATCTCAAGAAAAGGAAGTTCTCCATGTGTTTTTTTTTTCTTGATAATCGAGAAATATGTCTGTGACCCGCCCTTTGGACCAATCACAGCCTTCTAAACTTAATGGATAATGGGCCCGCCCCTCTATCCTTCTCCACTTAAATATCGGGCTTCACTTTGCATGGTGTGGGGCTTGAACCTGCGATCTAAGCCACAAATCTTCCACCTTTTGCCACTTGAGCTAGGCCTTGGGGGTAAGTTCTCCATGTGTTCTAGATGCTATTTATGTGAGGAAGAGGTTAAGACAGTCAATCTGTTTCTCCAGTGTAGAATAACGTCCTAGCTATGTAGGATTTTCATTAGGCTCAGGGGTTTTGCTTGGGCTATGCCTAACATAATCACACATCTTTTATACAGTTGGGGAGAAGTAGGGGTGGGAGCTGCATATAGAGATAGATGGAGGATTATCCCAGCCTGTATTTGGTGGACTGTTTGGAAAGAAAGAAATGCTAGATGTTTTGAGAGCAAGAGTTGTGATCTTCAAAGAATCAAACTAAATTGTATCAGGCTTTTTTGCTCCTGGTGCAAGCAGATGTATTTAGAGGACACTGAATCCATTATAGATATCCTAGGTTCATGTTAGATTCACTGGTTCAATGAACATACACAAATGTTACCTTCTCAAGAAAAAAATATCATCACAAACTAGAGGAGTGTGATGCCACAAACACTTGCTCCACTATTCAACAGGAATATTAGGTAATGTGTTGGCATAGTACCATATTCAGATGTTAAAAATATCCTTTTGATAAGATAAAGAATGGATCCGATATTGGATTGAGAATCATATCCAGATGTTAAAAATATTAAAAAGAAGAAATAATACTTCCAATTCGATCAAGATGTAGGTCAATATTGTTTAAGGTCATTTGGAGGTGCTTAAACCCCAAATCTACGTGAAGCTCAAGGTGGTGCTTAGCCTCGCTTAGGCAGAAAGCATCAACATATTAAGGGATGAGCTCAATGTGCATGGGCTTTACTTTGGAGAGAGCGCCAATGAACAATAAACAACCAGAAAAGAGATATATCAATTGTTGAGGAAACGTATGAATATGTTACTTATTAAGAAAAGGAATTAAAAAATTCAAATAGAAGAAAACTAGTCAGAAACCCTGAAGTTCAAACTTTGACTGCATTGTAGCTTCTAAATCAAAATTTTATATCAATTTTGAGCTTAATTTACAGGTTGTATTTTTACTTCTATATTTCACTTAATTATAGTTTTTCTAATTACTTTGTTCATATGATTTTTTTGTGCCTCTATTCTGTACAAATTACATTTAAATATTTTTAGAAGTACAATAGAAAAAGGGAAGTACTCAAATGTCATCGTTAACGGCAACAATGGTTTCATCACTTGTTAGTTGTTACTACTTCATATCTATAATAGGGAAATGCTTTTAAGTCCAGAATATCACGAATAACTGCTAGCTTATTAACTAAGCTACACAACTCTTGGAGAAAGATAGAAGCACAAACCAAGAGTGTCCGTCCTTGATCATTATTGTTGGTAGGTAAAGAATTTAGATCAATCGTCTGGATCACTTCATCCATCTCTCCGAGTTTGGGGGCCATCAGCATACTGTAATAAACACCCCAAGAAAGTACTATTAATGTATTATCATTTTTTTTTATTCGGAAACTCAATGCAAACTGCAAATTAACATGGCAGCACCTATTGCGCCCACCAAGATGTCCAACATGATCCAAGCCAATATAATGAAGAATCTAAAACAGTGCAAGCTTGAGTTAAATAAAATAGTGACGAACAAAAAAGTAACTCCACAGGAAGAAACAGATGAACCATCAGCAACATGTTCATGGATCTCACAAGATGCCCCATTTACAATATAAAATTGACCAACGTAAACCGTATTCAGAAGGAAAATGATTTAGACGTTTGATAGAGAGGGGGAGGGGATACTTTCAACTATTTTGAAACAAAAATCCCGAACACAATATCAAGATAGATTCTGTAACAATAATTATAATTGTACTAGAACATCCAGTGTATCTGCTAGTTCAATAATGATTTCCACATCTATAGGAAATAATTATTCTCGAAAAAGGAAGCTGTTTAATAAGTTTACAAGTGTTAGTTGGAATTTGAAACATTAACCAGGCATGCTAACAAAACTGGCAATTAGAACACAAATATAGTTCTTCAATGGAAGGATGACTTTATGGGTGTGTTTGGTATGAAGGAAAATGTTTTCCTAGAAACTGTTTTCCTGGAAAACAAGTTGATTTTTGACTTATTT